AGTCACATGCAACCTCTTTCTTCCAGCATTCTGTACTTGCCCTTCTGCTTCCTGTTTTACATTGTTGTTACACTGTTTTATTTCGCTGACTATTGATTAGTCATGGAGACTCAGACTTAATGTGATTTGAAAGCTTATAAATAAATAATCATGAAATAAGGAAGGAGTGACACATGCTTGTTTTACAACACAGCTTTAAAAGTACACTCCCCGTGCTTTATACAGTATACAGATGTGCTTCCTGTACTGGACAGGCCTCCCAACCAAACAGCTGTTAGCTATTCCCAAGGTTGCCTGGGAAACGCTGCAATGGAAAATTCTTGGGAATTTCCATGTGCCAAAGGATTGTGGGGAAGTAATACAGCACCGGGGGTTGCTTCGTTACTCCCAAATTTTCTTAACACATACAGGGATATGACTTTTTCTCAACAGGAACTCATGAGGAGAAACTTAAACCAGACACCAAAGAAACACTCAGAACACAATTTCAGTAGGGGAGATTTATGGAGAGCCCCCTGCCACTCTACACCCCTCTGTCGTGCATCTTTACCTACATCTGAGTCAGGACATTTAATGTCCCGTCCCCAAAGGCAGAGGCTTGCCTAAATATAGCCAGAGTTGAGATGGGGCAAAGGGGAGTGAATGGGAGAGAAGGAGGGAGAGGGGAAATTAAAAGTAGGAAAAATTGTAAGAAAAGAGCAAAGGAAAAACTCCTTTGACTCCTTAAGAGAGGGTGAAAGAAAATAAAGTGAGAGCAGAGAGCAAACATTATCCATGGGCACAGATCTTGCACCCTTGCCTGTGTGTAACAGATATAGCCCACCAGCTGCTTGGTTCAAGGCAGGAGCATGCCTCCTGAAATATACCTGCGAGCAACTCCCTCGTGGCGACGAGGTGCAAATCACAGCCAAGGAAACCCTAGACAGGCTGATCATTTCCATCTGCTCATTACATCTGATTCATCCTCATCAAACCTCCGGGTATTATCAGTGTCATACTCCAAGTTAGATTTGACACTGGAATAAAGTTGAAGGAAAATCTAATTTATAAACAGTTTTTTTAGTTTTTTCATTCCTCAGTTAGATTAGATGAGACATTTTAAATCTCTTCGTCTCTCCCAAACCAAGAAACAAGATCAAGGTTCTATGATTCAATCAAGACACAAGGCCTGGAGCTTTTTCCATTGAAAAAAATAAAACAGAATTTGTAAAGAAATATAATAAAGACCAGTGTGTTGGTTAGTGTGACAGTAGCCAGCATGATTTCCAGGGGTATAGGCACATGCTTCAAATCTTCTAGCACCACAATGACGATGATAAAGCAAATGTGGCTGTAAAAGCATTAACAAGTTTTGTTTTTTGCTGCAAGCCAACTTTTAAATCATGACTCCAGTGTTTGTCTGATCACAGCATTGCAGAATAAAGTTGTGATTATCTTATTTATCTCTGTATTTCTATATTGTTTTTTATTGTTGCAACATGTCACATTTTATGACTGAACTGTTCAGTAGAAGCTTATCCGAGCATCTTGGGTCAAGGGGAAGTTTGGCCATGAAATAAGATGGGTGGCCTCAAGTGGGAACTGAGCCATATTCATTACAGGCCACTGGGATGAAACAAGGGTCGAGACTGAGACATAGACATCATGCAAGACAGGCAGGAAACTGAAATACAATCAGGGAAATGACACCTGATTTATCAAATTCCAGAAATGCCATCATGACTTTAATGGCAGATTTTCTCACTTGTTTAAAGAAAAAAATTAAAGGAATACTTTAGAAATTTTGGGCAATATACTTATTCATTCAATACCACTCTTATATCTGTTTGGTATTTCTGAAGCTGGAGCCAGCAGGCGGTTGGCTTAGCTTAGCATAAAGACTGGTAAAAGCACTTCTATATTTTAATAAATAATACAGTATCTCCAGTTTGTACGTTTAAAAACAACAGTTTGTGGTTTTACAGGGGTTATGTGCTAGACTATATCTCTAGTCATTGTGAGGTTGTCAGGCATGCAGTGAAAATTCCAGGAAGTAATTTCGGAAGATCAAGAAACAGTCCCACACATAACTTCCCCTAAAACCACAAACTGTAATTTTTACACTTCAGTTTTGAAAGCAAATAAGCTTTTATTCCAAGATGTCAAACTGTTTCTTTAAGGAAGTTGTTGATGTCTTGTCTGGATGTTGTTCATTTAGAATTCATACCTACTGTACATCAGTATATATATCCTTACACTCTGCCTGCCCATGCTGCTCTCTGCTCAGATGAAGTGCCTCCTCACATTATGCCCACTGATCACCAGAGACGAGGCAGCGAACATGAGAAGCATGGCTTTTTAGCTGGTTGAGCATGAAATCTAGTTAGCCTTAAAAAAAAAAAAAAAGCAAGTGAGGGTGGGAGAAATGAAGCAGAGGGTGACAGAAACTGTGGAAAAAGGGAGGATGGAGACAAAATATGTCTTTTTTGGTGACTAAGGCAAAAGCCAGAAAGAAGCATATGATGTCTTGGATTGGACGGCCGAATTCAGTGCATGTGCTCAAACAAAGAAATGGGCATGTATTGTGTTTCTGGCTGTGAGGGCGGTAACAGTTAACAGTACACACGCAGCAAAATGTCCATATCCAATAGACATATGGGATCAAGAAGGCCAAGCAGTCTGGATTTGCTGTCTCTTTTTCTCTCCATCTCTATCTTTTCTTTTTTATCTCTCCTGATCTCTCAATGTGCTAGCTGGCGCCGAGATCTCTGGGGCACAGTCTATGACATCAGACTTTGCATTTCAGATTCGATGATGTTAATCATCCGCCTTCGGGCAACAAAGAAAAGAAGAGAGGAGGGTTGAGAGAGATAAAGAGATACATAGGGAGCCGGACGGAAAAGGAGATGGACAGGGAATGAACATGACTGGAAGGGAGAGCGATGAGAAAGAGAGTGAGAAGGGATGGAGGGAGGGCTGAGAGAAAGAGAGGGGACATGAAGATCTGAAGCAGACAGATGCTGGCATGTCAGGTTAGAGATGGAGCCCAGAGATAGTTAGTCACACTTTGAGCCATGAGACTAGGAGGTGAGAAAGAAGGAAAGAAAGGACATGGCAATGCCAGTGGACACAATGTGTATGTTAATGTATGTTTTTAGTTATAAAACACTGAGCTACTTAAGACTTTGCTTATCCATGTTTCTGAATTTCCCAAAGGAGCACAGTCTCTCCATGGGTCAGTCTCTCCATCCCTGCCTCTCTCTTTAACTTTCACCTTGAGGAGTCAACTTGAGGCCTGTCACTCAAAATCACCATCACCACAACATACACCAAGAGAATGGCTGCAGTTAAACGCAGGGACACAGTGAGAATAAGGGGATTTTTCTTGCCTGATTTTGCAATGAACCATTCCTCCACAGCAAGAAATTATCATTATTAGTGATGGCTAAGAAGCAGATGTCAAAATACAGACTACGTGAAATGACTGAGTGTTCTCTAGTTCGATTCTGGCATCATCTTTTCTACTAAATTAAGTTTTCCTAATTCAAACAAGGAGCTCCTGCCAATCTTGTTGTGAATTTTAATATTGTTTTTCCAGCCAAATTGCCGATTCTACTCAGTAAGTCAACTGTGTCAGTGAAAGTGGGTCTGCAGCTCGCCAAGCCTGTGTGAATATCATGTACACAACCCACAGATCAATCCACTTAGTGCCCATGAAATAAAGGGAGTGGGCAGGCCACTCTGCTAGTCTGACATCATTGTACTCGGCCATTAGGCTGAGTGCCATCATGGCTCACCACCTCTCTAAGGGACCGTTCTTGGGCTGCATTCAAAACCAAACGCTGTAGTCCTTGCCTCCATTAGAACCATCTGGAATATCTTAAACCTGTTGATTAAGTGTGAGGTGCAGCATCGCCCACCTACACGTTTGTTTAATTTAAGAGCTGTATTCCTGTGACTGTGGGTATATCATCTGTTACATCTATTAATGTTGCACTGCAAACATAGAGGTTGGGAGAGAGTGACACCTTTATTTTATGACCCATCCTGCAGGGCAGGTAGAGAGTTGTCAGCTCATACAGTAAGGGAAATAATGAGTGCATACAGATTACTGTTTTATTTTCATTATCACTTATTCTTCCAGTTATTTTTTTTTTTTGTTCATCACAATTCCCAGAACCAAAGGTGACCTCTCCATATTGCTTGTTTTGTCTGACCAACTGTCAAAACCCCAAAACATATTCATTTTACCATCACAGACCAAATAACCAAATATTCACACTTCAGAAGCTGAAAGCAGTGAATGTTTGGCATTTTGGATGAGGAAATGACATGCAACAATTAAGCGGTTATCAAAATTGTAGCTCAGTCGACTGTTTCAACCCTAGTTCATTTTCCTAAAACTGTCCTGATCTGCTCTAATTAGTTCTCCAGTAGTCTCAGTATCAACTGTCCTGTACTATAAAACCAATCGTGTTTATCCACAAAATGATCTAATGTGTCTCTCTCACACAAACTCTTAAGTGTACTATCTAATGTGTGTGTGGAGATGCTACAGTAAAAGTTTGGGAACCTCTGAGCCTCATTCACCTCACTCTACCTTCCTGAGATGATTCATATGACAGCAAGCCACATGCCCCAGTGCTGCTGCTGCAAGCTGGCAACAAATGGACAGCAGCTTTAAATATCGTGTTGCGCAAGGTAAAGTTGTATCCGAAGTAATGTGCAAGGCAATCATCATCACTTGGCAGGAAGGAAGCGCTTTCTGCTTCAGCTGAGACGCTTTGAGGATTATGTTCCACCAACTGCAATTCACTGAGTTTGAATTGATTGGAAGACATATTAATAGATATAATAGAAGTGAATGGTACTTTAAATGTGCATTTTTTATAAAATAAGTCTTGACTGTGAAATACAAAACTATGTAAAAAAAAAAAAAAAAAAAAGCCTGGCTGTCATTTCTCCTACACGGCAATATTATACTTTCAGAAGCCAACAGGCTGTTTTGAAGCTGTACTCACATCTGAGCCGTTGGGAATTGTCCGGGCGACACACACGAAATGGTTGACAGGAGTAAAAGTAGGCAGACTGAGTAATCCATAGCTTTGTTTATTTCCCCTCAACCAAGATCCAGACAGGAAGAAGATGCACAAAAAAGGTTCACAAATCCACAGCACCGTGCGTACTTCTCAGCCAAAACGCCTCACACCGCCATCGGTGCGCGTTTGGAAACAAATCTCATCTGGTATCTGTGTCCCCCCCACCGGTGGAGTTGAGGAGTGTTTGCTTTTTTTGGTTCTGGCCGTATGTGTGTGTGACTGTTAAGTGAGTGTCTCAAACTGCGATAGGCTATTAGAGCAGATCTGTACGGCGTGTGTCAAAAAATAAAAGGAGAAAAGGGGAGGGCGCATTTAGATCTCCAGCTTGGCCGGCAGAGCGGTGCCACTCCGCACACTGCAAAAAACATCTTAACCGCAATTTAGCAGTGGCTGTTCTTACTGTTAAACACACGGGAAAGTGTGTTGAAGTGGCTGAGATTTCAATCACTCTTTTTGGTTAGAATTATTTAAGTTGAATGTCCTTTTACACAATATATTGAATGTGTCATTCTGCTTAATATCATTGGAGATTTGGACGAATATTTCTGTCAAATTCTGACAAAAGTAAAATTAAATCCAATGGTCGAGCTTCACCTCTTCAGGAAACTCAAAATGACACTAGATGACATAACATGGACACTTTTGAGGTATAAATTACTGTTAATGACATTTTTTACAGTGTGTGTGTCTTTTGTGTTTGTGTTCCTGACGCACAAACGGGTTTCCGGGCGCCCTCTCTACCCACCTCATGCAGCGACAATTACGCATGGCTCTCTCGCCTGTTGGAGTCTTATCAAGCACTGGACACTTGGCATAAACATCACCCCGCCACCGCTCAACACCATGCGGCCATCTTCCTGTCTACTGCCTACACTTTTCATTCAGATTAATGGGCAGGTCTCGCTTTATCAACCTTATATGACCTCCAGCTGTGAACAGCACCAAATATAAAGGCGGATTTTTGTTTCCTTAGAACAGATGTTACATTTCTCTACTGCCTATAAAACTCAGCATCCTCAGATTGTTATTTCTTACCATGAAGCATTCATTTGCCTCCTAAAATGAGTTCCATTCTCCAAAAAATGAAGGGCTTCATTCTCTCTCCAGTGCATCCTTGAAAACAAGGATACACTTCAAACCAGGCGGGACTTCAGTCCAGATAAGGACACCTTTATTAGGGGACATGTGTTGCTGAAAGCGCTTTCAGGCCTTCATGACTTCATGACTGCTGTCCATATCCGAATCTGCCAAACACCACGTGGAAAACTCACAATTTTCATCTAAGAAAGGTCCTCTGTTTTATTATGTAGAAGCCTTTATTTAATTAACAACAAGGCAGTGCATCTGCTTATGCAGAAATGTGATAATGAATTCCACTTGCTCCAAGGGCTGTGGCAAACTTAATATGAAGTGACATTTCCTTTTGCTGGGACAATCAGCAAGGTAAATACCAGAAGAATATGCTGTACTTTCTAATGAGTTTTCTCTGCAAAGCCCCTTGTCAGAAACAAAACTAATCTCTGACTAATTTCCTCAGAGTTCCTCACTTATTATGGGTGCCCAAAGTTATTATTCCTGAGTTTAATTTTGTTTGTGTTAAGGTGTGAATATGGATGTGTGCATGCATATGAGTTCACGTTTATTGCCATCAAGGGTCACACCAGACAAACAAGGCTAAGTGTTGCTCACCTGCTATTATATATGAATCACACAAATAGATTTACTGTGCAAACAGTTGTCCATGTCCCACTATCAGGTTTCACTATAACTGACCTCTTGCCAGGCAGGGCTCGGTAATGGGGGAGAGGAGTGAATTTACAGAGAAACAGTGAAGGGGTGGGTTAGGAAAGAGTTCAGCCTGACAAAAAGAGGGGAGATGGTTTGGAAATGTATTATATATAGATACACCAGACCACACAGATGAACTTTTTAAAATATTATGAAGACATTAGTCTGGAACAAACAAGCAAAAGGCTTGTGGCCATGTGTTGCCTTGTACAATAATCCAACACCAATCCCTCATGCTGCTTCTGTTTTGGAACCAGGCAAGCAAATGCAACACTCTCTTAAACAGGATTATATGGGATTTTCACAGGGATTAGTTTGTTTTACAAAAGCTTCTCAAAAGCGGCAAATTCAGTTTGACTAAATACATCCCATTCCCATAAATGATCAGATTACAGACACCCAGTGTGGTTTGATGTAATATTTATTCTTAAAGCTGCTATAATCAATATCTTAATGTCAACAATAGATCAAATGATTATGTGTTATGTTAAAGAGGTCGTGAGTAGTGACAAACCCATAGAGATTTATCACCAAACTGTGCAGTCCACCTCATATCTATGGAGTATTTTAACATCTTTTAGCACGTTGTTTTGGTTTTACAGCCCACAACTTTATTGTTTTGGTCAAAATTGCATTTATCTCAGTAGATAAAAGCTGCTCATTCTAAGGTAACGAAAACACGACAATTCTTATATTCAGGTGATCAGAATAAGAATCAGAATCGGGTTTACTGCCAACTAAGTTTTTATACGTACAAGGAATTTGTCTTGGTGCATTGGTGCATAAAAATCACACAAAAATAAAGTACTTTTTAAAATGTATATAAATAAAGATAAGGATTAAGATAGAAAGATCCAAAACTGTACAGGAAAGATATTTACAATGTGCAGGATAGAAAAACCAACGGGAGTGCATTAATGTAATGCATATATACAGGGTGGGTATTAAGAGTCAGTGTCAGTGGGGGTTCCAGGCCTTGTTAATGAGGCCAGCTGCAGACGGAAAGAAACTGTTCTTGTGATTATACACCAATAAAAATATACCCATGAATATTATGTTTAATTTCTGCCAATAGATCCTTATAAATATAACACACAGGGCCTTTAAATGTTTTTTCTGTTTCTACGTTTGTTATAATGCACACTTATGGTGCCTGTGCTAGTTAGCACATTCATGTCAAGCGTGTCTGAAAATTAATAACTAATTTTGTGCTGCCTACAACTGGACACAAACACACAAACAAATGTTTTTCATTGGGCATGTTAGATTCAACTTTGTGGAAAGGTTGTGTGGTTCTCAGTTATGCGGTTCAGTGCTCTTTTATTTGAACCTTTTTACCACTAAGGTACAGTTTGCTTCAGGTCACGTTTCGGAAAGAGCAGCAAAAGAGGTGAAATCAAGAGTGCAAGTGTGTGTGTAATAGAGAGCGACAGGGGGGGTTGATGTAAAGGTTGTGTCTCTGAGTGAATTAGGAATGTGTGTGTGTGTGTGTGTGTGTGTGTGTGTGTGTGTGTGCCTGACAGGCAGCAGGTGTGGCCTCTATCACCAGCCCCTGACCCCACCCACCTGTCCAGGGAATTGCCCAGCTGCCGTCGCCTAGCAACCCTTTCGCCGTCTCCACGCCGACTCCTCACAACCGAGCCACAAGGCTGTTGTTTTCCCAACCAGTGAGTGCACATGTAATGTGTGTGTGTTCACAATGGGAGCAGCACAGAGAGGGCAAAACAGGAGAGATACATACTCAGTCTAATGAAGCAGAAGAAAGTAGCATACGGTATTTTAGGAAAAGCTGCTAAAATGAGCATAATGAAACATATTTTATGACTTTTCACTGGCACCCCTGACAAAACAGTCTTTAGTATTGATTTCCCTTTAAGAAACTAAACCAACCCTTCAACCATTAAGCTATTAATAATCAGCTTTAACCAGCTCTTTTAAATTCTTAATTTAAACACACAAGCAAAGATGAGGAAGCACTGCCTAATAAAAAGGTTTCATTTTCTAAATATGTAGCAGCTCATTAAAAAACATTTGCGGGGCCGAAAGCCTTTGCATTTTATTCAAATGACATTTGAAATACACCCATGGACATTTTTACACTTTTTTATAATTATTATTATATATATAATATTATAATAATTAATGTAAAGAAGACACAGTGTTTTCTTCTTTTTTATGTAACTCCTACATTTTTGATTATCTTTGGGTTTGTGGTTTGTAGTTTTATTAATGCTGACATCAGTGGAAAAATGCAGGTTGTAAGCATTTGGAGAGCAGCCTAAGCAGCATGACATGATACAATATGATGAAGCATCTGTCAAATCTGACTCCTGTCTGAAAAGTTAAAATGTCACTGTCACATCCTCTCATATTTTTCGGTATCCTGCAAGACAAACAAATTGATGCATATACTGCTGAGCCTTCACTGAAGAAGAAAATTCAAGAAACTGCCTTCATGCAAAATCTTACATTATACTGTATTTTCCCCCACAGGCTGCCAAGCACAATTTATTTATTAATTCTTCTGGACGAGTGTGTTACCCTGGCAACAAATTATCTCCAAGTTTAAAGTTTAATCGGCTACTCCCCCGCACAGTGTCTTCTTGGCGAAGATGATGGGACATGTGTTTTTTCTCCACATAGGCTGACACCAATGCATTCTTCATTGTCAAATCCAACTGTTATGAGGAAAGATGGAACACGCTGGAAGACGGAAAAACCATCAAAATTGGAAGCGATTAAGATGGATACAGTTCTGTGTAGGAATTATATTTAGTATATTTTAAAAGTTACAGTTTTGGCCTTGTGGGGAATAAGCTTATTCACTTTCTTGCCGAGAGTTAGATGAGAAGATCAATACCACTGTCATATATGTCAGCCATGAAGCTGTGCAGCCAGCAGCCAGTTAGTTTAGCTTAGTATAAAGAATGGCAACAGAGGGATAGTAGTGAGTTTTAGAGATGCTGGTAGGTGGAGTAAACCAAGCTTGCCCTTCCTCTTTTTCCACTGTTTATGCTAAGCTAAGTGACTGCTGGCTTTTGCTTGATATTTAGCAGACATGTATGAGGAATACCAAACTATTCTCTTTAAAGTATTGGGTTATTCCTTAACTATTCATGTTCATAGCATGACTGTAAAGCTACCCTCAGTAGCTGGTTAGCTTATAGTAACTAACCAGGCTGAAAACAGGGGTAAACAGCTAACTTAGCTCCATCCAAAAGTAACAAAATGACCTACACGCACCAGCACCTCTTCAGCTAAACAAAAACCCCCATTTATGATAAATAGTCTCAAAAAACCACAACATGTTGCGTTTATAGATTTTGGAAATGTTGTTACATTTGAGCAGAGCAGAGCTAACTGTTTCCCCTTGCTTCCAGTCTTTATGCTAAGCTAAACTGATCACCTGCTAGCGGTATGCTATTCTCTAACTCTCTGTAAATATACAACTGGTCTTCTAAGACTGAGTTAAGCCACATATTTCTACATTCTTCATGTCA